TGAAGGCTGGGATTGCTCATCCCAACCTGGATGCAAACCTCCCCACAGGTTTATTTGCTCCTCAGATTGAGTTAATAAAGCAGCAGAGAAGAAAGATGGCCCAGAAGCCACAGGATCAATAAGCTATTAGGAGCCAAGAAAACCCAGCAAACTGCACACATAATTAAAGGCTGTGGTGAGCAGGTTGCATCTTTTCTGACTCTATTAAGTCAGGTCTTCAGTTTTATGTAAAACCATCAGCTGAGCTGAAGGTAAAACCAGCTGTGTCTCTGCATATTTATAGAGGGGGAGATAAAAAATGCACACCCAGAACTGGCAGAAGGGACTGTAAACAAAGCACCTCCAACTCCCCACCCCTCGGGGTAATTGAGCCATGGGCTGATGGAATTGTCTCATTAAAAGATGACACTTCATTCCTAAATGCCTTCCCTGCAGTGCCAGCTTGGGCTCCAGGATTCCTCCAGTGAGCAAAGCTCTCGTGTTCCTCCTTGAGAACAAACCCTGTGCTAACAATTTATGGAAACACAGATCCCAGAATGGGTTGGGTTGGAGGGGACCTTAAAGCCCATTTTATTCCAACATTGTGCTGTGGGCACGGCCACCTCCCACGAATCCAGGTTGTTCCAAGCCCTGTTCTAGCCTGGGGATATCCAACCATTTATTCATGATAATTAATTAATATTTGTGTTAATGTGCCTGGAGCTGGGCCCTCCCTAGGAAGTGAGACTGGAGCTTGGCTGGAGGCAGTCAGAGCACTGTGAGGGAGGCTCTGTCCTTCAGAATTTCCTGTTGCAGACATTCCACAGAGCTGGAAAGCTCCTCTCCTCTTGCTCTGTACATCCTGCTGGTGGAAATCATCCCCCGGGCAGAGAAAAACTCCACGGCCTTTGCAGTGGGGGGAAAGTGGGATCACAGGATGACAGCCTTGTCCCAGAGGGGCTGGGAGGAGATTCAATCTGTTGCTCACCAAGGAACATTTCGCTGCAGAGGCTGGGTCAGTTGGTGTTTACCCCTTTCTCTGAAGCTTCCATACCTGAATTCTGCTGATAAGGTCAATTAGTTTCCTTGGCAATAGCAGATCCCGGCTAACGGAGCACGGGAGTCTTTGTGTTTCCAGGACATGAGTGCTCCTGAGCATGAGCTCACAAACCTCCTCCTGCTGCTGAAACAGGTGAAGCACAGGGGAGCCCTGGAAGGTTTTTCCCCTCTCCAAAGGCGGTTTTAGTGGGATAACCCCACTGCCTGGGACAGCCCCTGGCCACTGCTGCCTCCCGTGGTGTCCCCTTAATCCTTTCGGTCACTTTTTGGCTCTTCCTCTGGGAAAGGTTGGTGTTTGGGCAATTTTGGGTTGACATTTGCTGACTTCTTCCCCTGAGCAGCAGCAATGCTTTTGGCCTAAGTATCTTGAGCTTCTGGACATCCCCAGCTGCGTTTTTGTGTCTCCCTCTGCTCTCCCTGCTTGGGGGTGACTTTTCCCAGCCCTCTTTCCTGCTCCCAACCATCCCCCGGGAATGTAACCCTCATTTTAAATGAATACCCACCTTCAAAACACAGCCAGCCTTGGTGCAAACCCTTCCCAGAGCAGCCAAGAGGAAGGAGCTCTCTGGAGCGTGGCACCAGCCCTCTCGTCCATCCCTCTCTCATCCCTCTCTCATCCCTCTCTCATCCCTCTCTCATCCCTCTCTCATCCCTCTCTCATCCCTCTCTCATTCCCTGCCTGCTGTTTCCATTCCCCTCACCGTGGGCTCCTCAATCTGCACAGAATGATTTCCAATTACATTTTTGTTGCTGAGGGCATAAATCTCCTCCCCAGACTGGTTTTCTTCATGCCCAGGCAGAGCTGTGGTGCTGGTGGAGAGAGAACCAGCCAAGCCAGGCTGAGGCATTTTATGCTTTATTTATTTTATGGTGGCCCCTTTCCTCCTCTCCTTGACAAGAAATGACCTCATTCTGCTTTAATATTCTAACAGCAGCGATTTTCAGTCCTTGAATCCTTCATCTAAGGCCAGTTAAAAGCCTCTGACCCGAAGCAGCAGCCCAGGGAACATTGATTATACGTGGAGTGAGCCCTGAGCTTGTTTTGATGTTGATGAGCTGGGAAGAGAAGCGTCTCACTCTGCTTTCTTTAAAAAAAAAAAAAATCCCAACCAAACCCCACTCTGTGCTGAGCCCACAGGATCATCATTATCCTGAAGTGCACTAAGTGGATAATTGAACTAATCCACACTGTGAGGAAGGCACTGATGAGCCAAAGCTTTTATAACCAACTCTCTCTACAACAGCTCTGCTTTTTTTTTTTTTCCCCTTTTTCCATGAAAGTAATTTGGTGCATCCTCCAGCATGCACGGATATATTGATAAAAAGCCCTTTCTAGCTCTTTCTCTGTCTCAGAAGGGTGAAATCCTCACTGGGCACAGGGATATTGTCAGTACCAGTGGAGCAGAGGTGGCTCAAGCACCTGCACAGGGCAAAGGCTGTGGGATCTCGCTCTGGAGATATTTAAATTATTTCTCCACGGCCTGATGTGTTTCCCAGCAGGTGGAAGCTGAGCTGGAGGGGAAATGTGGCAGGAGGAGCCTCCTGGGTGGTTTTTGTCAGTCAGGGAATGGAGAAAAGCAGGAATAAAGGATGCAGAGCTCACTCTAAATGCAAAGTGCCTCTGGTTTGTGAATTTGTGAACTGGGGGGTCCAGGCAGCTCCTCAGGCCGTGGATCCTGTGCAAATACTTAACAAGGAATAAAAACCTTGCAGCAAAGAGCTTGAGATTTCAATAATTTAAACAGGCAGAGGAGCTTGAGCTGTGCATGAGGAGGGGGGGAGCCCATACTGAGGTACCTGGGTAGAAAGAAGAAATTGCTGCAGTTTCTTTTTCTTTTCTTTTTTCTGCAAAGAGAAAACTTGTCCTTGATTAAATCCCCCTATGTTCCCCCCAGTTCCCTGGCCCCCATGGTTTATTGCTGGGACAGAGCCCTTGCTGCAAATAAACAGCCTTTTTTCCTTCAGTGCATTAATATTGGACATAAACACCCTGTGGAGCACTGCCCCACTCTCAGCATTCCTTTCTCCCACATTATTTTACACACTGGCAAGATTTAAAATGTAAAAGATTCTTTTATGATGCTTCTGTGTCCACCTTGTGCCCACCCTGAAGAATCCAGCCCATAAACTGAGCTCTTTATTCCTCCAGCCCCCTGAAGAACCCAGACCAGCAGCTCTCAGCACTGCCTTGTCCTTTGTTTCTTCCTGGGCATTCAGCCTGGACAGAGGAAGAATTCAGCACTGGGTCTTTATTAAACATTATCATTTATTTTGTTTATGGATAGCTCCTTTATTTCAAACAGAAATATTCCATATTCACTGGAAAGTTTTTCTTTTTTTCATGCCTGTTGGAAAGAGTTAGAATTAAAAAAAACCAAAAAACAAAACAATAAGGAAAAAAAGGCTTGGATACATGCAAATCATACTGAGTGTTGCCAAATGTATTAAAAGTAACAGAGTTTTTTCTAAGTTACCTTCTTGCACATGGAGGACAAACAACCACTGGCAGCCTGAAGCCCCTCTGGAAAAATGGGCAGAGCCAATGGGACCAAAAGTCTGTTTGCACCCAAAAAAAGCCAAGCTGGAGTCACTGCTGGGAGCTGCTCAGGGACAGAAAGGGGCTCAGGTCTGCTCCTTGGAGCACGAAGGAGAGGAAGCTTTTCCCACTTTCCTGCCCTTCCCCAGGGTTGGGATCCAATGAAATTCTGGTTCCAAAAAGCCAAAGTGCACATCCCAGCACTGCTGCTCTGGGGTGATCCATTTCCCATGAAAAGCACAATAAACCCAAAGCCCTGTGGCAGAAAAAACCGGAACATTTTAGAAACAAAGCACTTCTGGTCCAGGGGGCAACAGCCGTGGCCAGGTGGCCCCAAGGCTTTCTGAGGCTTTAAATCCCAGCTGGCTGTGTGGCAGTGAGAGAGGGGATCAACCCCAGGGTTGTTTTACCTTTTTTAACCCTTCAGTACCGTGATCTCTTTTTGTCAGTGATGCTCCTGAGCCCTGACTCCAGGATTTGTGTGTCCCTCCCAGAATGGATGAGATGCTCCCATTAAAAGCTCAGGAGTTTTCACAGCTGGTAGGAAACTGGTTTTTACTGGATAAATCCTGGGCAGGCACAGGTGTCAGCCTGGTTTTGGTAAGGCTGGAGGGTGAGGTGGTGTCCAGGCACGCTGCAGGCTGGGATTTAACCCTGCCCCAGAAAACAAAGCTTCCCTCTGGGCTGGGCTCACAATATAGAGAGGAACACCCCTGGATTGTGTGTGAGGAGATTTCTGACCCCTGGTTTGTGTGTGAGCAGGTTTTACACCCCTGCTTTGTGTGTGAGCAGATTTTTCACCCCTGCTTTGTGTGTGAGCAGGTTTTTGTTGTGTCTCAGCAGCCACACCTCTCGCAGTGATTGCTGAGGTCAGGAGTGGGAAGGATTGAAGGTTTGTCCCAGGCAGGTCCCTTTGGGGTGGCTGCTGTCTGTCCATCCTGTGGGGAGCAGCTGAGATCCAGCCCTGAGGAAAGGGAGCCCTTCCCTGCACAGCCTGGGCGCCTCCCTGCTCCCTTTCCCTGCCCTTCTGAGGTTCTGCAGCCCCTTGGAGACACATTTCTGAGAGAGCCAAAAGCACAGCACACCACTAACGCTTCAAAACACCCGGCCAGCTGTTAGAAAATACAAACACTCTACGTGATCACTTGGATGTGTTCTTCAAGAAGAGAATGGCTGACACTCGTGGCACAGGGGGAAGGCAGCAGCTGGGACTCCTGCAGCAGCCAGGAGTGGGAACAGACCCTCCCAGCCTTGGGGTGTGAAGTCATCCTTGCTCAAGGTGCCCACCAAGGGCTGGACATCATGTCTGTGGCGTGGCGCCTTGCCCCGAGCCAGGGCACCTTGTCACACCTTGCTGCTCCCCGGCCTCGGCCGCTCTGTCCATCTGATGCCACTCCGTGCTGCCAGCCCTGCCCGGAGCCCTCAGCTCCTCCTGGCTGTCCCCCAGCCCCTCCTGCCCCTCCAAATCACTGACCTGACCCTCCCCGAACTCCAGGATGGTCGGCAAATTGCCCTGCTTGGGGCAGCGCCGCTTCAGGCTGACCAGGAAGGGTTGGGGCAGCGAGAAAATATCCACGTTGTTACCCAGGTCGATCCAGGTGACGCTGGGGAACTTCTTGGGGTCCTTGAGGGTGTCGGTGAGGTCCCTGAGGATGGCCTTGGTGAGGCGGTTGCCATTGAGGGCCAGCGTGGTGAGGCGGGGCAGGCCGCAGAGCGCGGGCAGCAGCTGCAGCAGCAGCTCGTCCGTCAGCTCCGTGAAGCACAGCTCCACCGTGTCGATGTGCTCCGAGCTCTGCTCCAGGTACGACCTGACCCTCTCCACGTCCCTCAGGGTCAGCGGGATGCCTGACAAGTCCACGGTGTTGTCCTGGGGTTTCCCCATCAGTACGGTCTTCAGGCTGTATGGAAAAGTGAGGACAGTCACAGAATGAGAGAAGGACAGAAGGACACAGTCAGAAAATCACAGAATGACACAATCACACAGAGAATTACAGAATGACACACACAATCACAGAATCACACAGTCACACAGAGAATCATAGAATGACACAATGACACACACAATCACACAGTCACACAATCACACGGAAAATCACAATCACGGAAAATCACAGTCACAGAATGACAGCATGACAATCACACAGTCACAGAATCACACAATCACAGATTCACAGTCACTCAGAATTACAGGATCACACAAAATCACACACAACCACAAAATGACAGAATACAAAATCACAGAATCACACAATCACAGAATGACAGAATGACAATCATACAATCACAGAATCACACAAAATCACACACAACCAGAGAACGACAGAATGACAAAATGACAGAATGACACAATCACAGAATGACAGAATCACGGACAATCATAGAATGATAGAATGACAGAATGACAATCATAAAATCACACAATCACTCACAGAACCACACAAAATCACACACAAACAGAATGTGTGTCACACACAGTCAGAATCACAGCATGACAGAATGGCAGATTCACACAATCTCACAATCACACAATGACAGAATCACACAATCACAATCCCACAATCACCAGGTTGGAAGAGACCTTTAAGATCGAGTCCAACCCAGCCCCAACACCTCAACTAAACCCTGGCACTGAGTGTCACATCCAAGCTTTTTTTAAACACATCCAGGGATGGTGACTCCACCACCTCTCCAGGCAGACCATTCCTTTCAGTAAAAACTTTTTTCTGACATCCAACCTAGCCACACTATTTTTTGGGAGCAGCCCCATGTGGGACCAAGGTGATGCCTCAGTAACAAGCTTCACCCACCTAAAAAACCCCAAATTACTCTTGTCTTGCAGTCTTTGAGCACCAAAGCAGCATCTCACTCCCAAATAAGCACAGAGTGCCCCTGTGAGTCAGTGATAACCATTTAACAACATGGCTAAAACACAGCCAGGGGTTGATCCTGGTTTCATCCATTTTTTTCCTGTAATTTCTTGTGGGATGTCCGGTGTGGCTTTAAAGAAGCAAAGTTAAGGAGATAACAAAGGGGGAATGGGGACAGCTTCAGGACAGCTCATTTTTATTTTCTTGTTTTCAGCTGCTTTCAGTATTGCTGCACTTTTTTTTCCTCCCTTAGAGCGTGCATAGGATTTCTGCCAGCCAGGAAAAGGGGAATTTCTCACTGGGATTCTACCCTGCTCCCCCTGAGAGGGATTTAGCTGAAACCCAGTGGAACAGATTGATTCTCTTGTACAAATTGCCTTTTCACCCTGCTGATGAGCAAAAAAAAAAAAAAAAAAAAAAAAAAAAAAAAAAAATCTCCTGAATCCCTGGGTCAGAGTGACCCTGGGCTGGTCCTGGGGGAGGCTTTGCCCTCCTGTCCCCGGGGAACCAAGCAAACAAACCCCAAACATTGGGATTTCATCCCAACAATCCCGTGCCTGTTCTGAGCCAGCTCGTGGAAATAAGGGGGGGGATTTCTGTGAACAAACAGCTGGAAAAGCTCCGAGCCCTGCCATGAAATTTGGCCACAGAACGGCCCCAAACCTCAGGAGGAAAATCATAACCATTAAACAAATCCCTCTGAGCTTTAGTGGGGGATCAGTTACACTCACTTGGTTTCATCCTCACATTTTACAAGGCTGCTCCATTGGGAAAACACTGATTTTTTTCCCCCCCCCAGCTGGGATTTTGCCCAATATAACACCAGGATTTGGAACAGAGCCCTTCACTAAGCTCACACATTGGCAGGATGCTGATTTATCCACGCTCACGCTGAGCTAAAAGCTCTCTCCCATGGAATCAGATCTGAAAGTGTTGTCATAAACAGGAATATTGATGTTTAGATCAAAGGGAATGAAAAGAAAAGGGGTTTCCTCCTGGTTTAAATTCATGGCACTGCTCTCAAGTGCTGCACAAATCGTGACGTGTGTGGTGTTCTGAAGGGAAATTGGGATGCTGAAGGGAAATTGGGATGCTGAAGGGAAATTGGGATGCTGAGGGGAAATTGGGATGCTCAGCCCAATCCCTTGCAGAGCAAGGGAACAGCTCAGGGAAAATGAAGAGGCAGCCCCAGAGAGTGAGGAATTACAGCAAGAAATTTATAGAGACACCTGGTGAGAAAACTGTTTACAAAAATGTCAGGGAAACATTATTGGGTGTAATGAATCACCCCCAAAAAACCCCCAAAAGGTAAAATGCTGAGATAAAAGATTTGTCCTGAAGTAATGGTGGTAGCAAGGATTGGTATTAAAGTGCTTTTTCAAAACCCCTGCTCCAAATGATGGCAGTCAAACACTGGAATAGAGATTTGGGAAAGGAAGGAATACAAACAAATGCTACAAAACCAGGGATAATTTAAAGTAAAGGGTTGAGAATCCCCATCCTCAGAGGAGGAATCAAGACAAATAAATACAAGTATTTAGCTTAAAGAGGGAATGTGACTGAGATAATATTATACATTGAATATCTTGTATTATTTTATGTTTTATATATATATATATATATATATATATAATATATCCATGTAATGAGGATGAATGAAACAGGATCTGAGGACACCTCCTGATGCTGAAAGCCTGAATTCTCAGGGGATAAAAGGAGCTCCAATTAACCTCCAGACTTGGGATATTTCTGAGATCAAGGACTTTGTGGGAGGTCCCAAGTGGACCACAGGGCACTGCTGTGGCTGAGAACATCCCAAGTCAGGATTTTAAAAAAGAATAAAATTTAAAAATTGGCTGTGGACTAACTGAATTTGAGGAGCAATCAAAAATTCTGCAATTCACCCAAATGGAGTGACCAGAAGTGGAATTGCCAAATTCTGTAAAATTTAGACAGGAAATTCCTCCTTTGGGCTCATCCTTATTTTTTTAAATTGAATTTTACACACACCCAGTGTGGGCATTGCTGTGATTGCTCCTGAGCTGCTCCAGCTCTGTGATCACAAAGGTTTGGAGTTTTATAAAATTTAAAGTCTCTGTTCCCCACAGCTTGGAAAGACTTCCCTCCTTAGAGATCCTCAGGGAAAGAGGATTTTTAAAATACATAAATTTCAAAATATGGAACTTTAAAGCCCCTTTTGAGCTTACTAATACATTCATTAAAAATTCCTAAGTCTTTGCTGTTAAGAAAGCACCAGTGGGGATTAATTATTGTGCTCTTTTCCAGTTCCAAGAGCCTTCCCAGTTTTGCCAAGGTTTGCACTTTTCATGTCATAAACTCCAGACATCCCTGTTGTAACATCATTGCCGTGCTACCCAAATTCCAGCCTGTTCCTCCTGCAAAATGCTGGAATTTGTGGGGCAGGAAGGGCAGGTTGCTCATTCTAGAGCTCCTCATTCTGGCCCTGAAATGTGACATCAAAATTAACTTAATTATGGCTGTTATTATAAAATAATTGTGCCTGCTGGGAATGCTCTGTGGGAATCACAACCCTAAACAGCATCTTAAAAAAAAAATTAAAAAAAAAAATCCCCAAACATTTTGGCTGATCCTTGGATTCAGCACAGGAATTTTTAAGCACCTTAAGAGGAAACCTGGAGGGGATGTCAAAATTGTCCCTGCAGTGACCTGCTGTGCTGTCCCAAATCCCCAAATCCCCAAATCCCCAAATCCCCAAATCCCTGAGTTCTCCTTGGCTCCACACCAAGCTCCAGCCCTGCCCCACCTCCCTCCAGGTAAAAGCTGGAGGTGTTTGGTGGGAAAAGGGAATTCTGGGCTGGCAGGGCCATCAGGAGGGGCTCCAGCCATAAATCCCTCCCAGAAGGATAAAAGCAGGAGCTGAGGGTCACAGCTCTGTCCCAAATCCAGGGACCCATGGAATGGTTTGGGCTGGAGGGACCTTCCAGGGCCCCCCCATGGAGGGGCAGACACGGAGCAGATCCTCAAAATCCTGGGAGCAAAGAGCAGGAGCAGGGATTGGCATCCACGGGCACCCCGGCAGCCCCAACACCTTCCCCTCTGTGGGACAAAGGGACAAAGGGACAGACACTGCAGAGCGGGGACAGCCCACGGTGTCACCTCGCAGGGCAGGGACACCCTAGAGTGCTACACAAGAGCAGTGTCACCGAGCAGTGTCACCCAACAGTGTCACCCCACGGAGCAGGGACGTCCCACAGAGCAGTGTCACCATAGTGCACAGTGTCACCTCCCAGTGTCACCCAAGAGCAGTGACTGTCACCCCACGGAGCAGTGTCACTGCACAGCACAGTGTCACCTCACAGTGTCACCACACAGAGCAGTGACATCCCACAGAGCAAGGACATCCAAGAGATGTGTCACCCACAGAGCAGTGTCACCATACTGTGCAGTGTCACCAACAGTGTCACCTCACCGTGTCACCCTAGAGAGGAGTGTCACCAACAGAGCAGTGTCACTGTACTGCACAGTGTCACCTCACCATGTCATCACTCAGAGCAGTGACATCCCACAGAGCAGTGTCACCCCACAGTGTCACTCTAGAGAAATGTCACCCCCAGAGCAGTGTCACCACACTGCACAGTGTCACCTCACAACGTCACCCCACAGAGCAGTGACACCTCACAGAGCGTGTCACCTCTCAGTGTCACCCAAGAGAGATGCCACCCCACACTGTCACCCCCCAGAGCAGTGTCACCACACTGTGCAGTGTCACCCTGCAGTGTCACCCAGTGCTGGGCTCTTGTCTGGACTCCCTGACCTGTCCCTTTCCCAGCCACTGCTTCCTGGACAATCCCATGGAAATGCCACCCACCCCCATCCCACTGTCCCACCCCACTGTCCCACAGCCCCCAGTGTCCCCCTGCCACTCAGCAAAGGGACACTGGGGCTTTTTCCAGTGTCCCACTCAGCAAAGGGACCCAGGGACTCCTTTCAAAGCCACGAGCTGCTGACAAAATGGATTTCTGTTCCCCCAAGCTGATCAATATCTCCAA